ACCCACACATAAACACACCCATTCCCTCAACCCCACCCACACACACACACATACACACCCTCAAACACCCCCACACACACACACACCCATTCCCTCAACCTCAAACATTGCACCCCCACCCCACACACACACACCCTCTCAACCCATGACCCCCACACACACACCCTCAACAGCCCCCTCCACACCCTTACCACGCACCCCCCACATACATCCATAACCCCTCCCCCACAACACACACTCTATCTCACCCTCAACCCCCCACACACACCCCTCAAACCCACACACTCATCCCCTTCAACCCTACACACACACAACCTGCCCTCAGCCACCTCCACAGACACACCCTCAAACCCCACACTGCACCCCCTTCAGCCCCACACACACCCCTCAACCGCACACACACCCCCTCACTCCCCCCCACACACAGACACCCATCAACTCCACACACACACACACACACACACATACACACACCACCTCTCAACTCCCCCACACACCAACCCCAAACACACACACCCCTCAACTCCACACACACACACACACACCTCCTCAGCCCCCCATTCACACACCCCTCGCAATGCAACACATACACACCCCCTCTCGATGCCACGCACACCCCCATGAACCCCACACATACATCTTCTCTCAACCCCACACTCACCCACACCCAAGCCCACACACAACCCCCCTCAACCCTGCACACACACCCCTCTCAGGCATACACACACACACCTCAACAACTTCCGCCACACACACACACACACACTCACATACCCCTCAACCACCCCCACAGGCACATCCTCAACCCCACACCCACCCCTCAATCACATACACACATACACTCAACCATATACACACACACACTCACACCCACAACCTCACACACACACACACACACACACACACCACCCCCCCAACCTCACACACACCCCTGTCCCTCTCACACAGACACACACACATACAAACACACACATGTACACACACGTGCGTGTACACACACACATACACACACATGCGTGTACACACACACATACACACACATGCGTGTACACACACATACACACACATG